GAGAACAGCCCCAGTTTTTGAAGCATCTTCACAGGCACTCGGTGACGTTTGGATGAACACCGCTCAGTAAGTGAGACAAGCACTGCCTCAGCAGGGGCTCGTGGCTCAGGTACTGCTCTGTTTTTGCTGTCTCAGGCATCAAACTGGCAGCTGCTTACTCCTTGTTACTATCTGAATAAATTGGATTATCTGGGAAGCCAACCACGGATAAAAATGCCATTAGAGAAGCAATTCATTTAGTCATATAGCTCTTTAGGATACAGTCATGCTTTCAGGAACTCCAGTACAACATTTTAACCCTTCAGAGGCCACACGAGAACGATTCACATTTCAAAGGTGTTTTCCAGTGGCTTGCAGTACTTCTGGTCAGGCAGGCTGGAGCCATGTGGTGGTATTTACACTCTGCTCAACAAAAGGTTTCCAGTGGCAATAGCCAGGGAGAGGAAACAACCAGGATTTAGGAAGGAACTCCACCTATGAAGTCTCCCCTTTTTGTTTGTTTTGACTCATGAGTTTCATGCTCCAGACTTCTCCTTTCACCAGAAGCAGCAAACAGATCGTTCTGTGTCCGCCATCTCCGGATCTCTCTTGATTTTTATAGACTTCCATCACACCCCAAACTCCTCCGGCTGTTTCTTTCCAGGATGAAAAGACCTAACCCACTTACCAGGTCCTCCTTGGGGGACTGCTCCCCTCTGGGACCCCACTGTGTACCCACTTGGGGCGCAGAGCCTGTTCGGGAGGTGGCTGCAGGGATGCAGCGGCTGGTCCAGTTTCCACTCCCCAGCATCTCCACAGATTTCTGCAGTGGTACCGAGGCGTGAGCAGCAGGCAGCAGAGAGCTGTGTCTGGTGCGAAGCTTTTTGACTCAGTCCTTCCCTGCAGAAGCTCTGCACACCTGCACAGAGAAGCAGCGAGGGGCATAATAAAAGACACCCAGGTCAGTGTGAATCCGAAGAATCACAGAATCATAGAATCATGGAATCACAGAATCATAGGTTGGAAAAGACCTCTAAGATCATCAAGTCCAACCATCCACCCAACACCACCTTGCCTACTAAACCATATCCTGAAGAACCACTTCCTAATGTGAAGTCTACACGTTTTTTGAACATCTCCACTGATGGTGACTCCATCACCTCCTTGGGCAGCCTATTCCAATGCCTGACCACTCTTTCAGTAAAGAAATTTTTCCTAATATCCAATCTACACCTCCCCTGCCTCAACTTGTGGCCATTGCCTCTTGTCCTATCACTAGTTACTTGGGAGAAGAGACAAACACCCACCTCACTACAACCTTCTTTCAGGTAGTTGTAGAGAGCAATAAGGTCTCCCCTCAGCCTCCTCTTCTCCAGAATAAACAGCCCCAGCTCCCTCAGCCGGTCCTCATAACACTTGTTCTCCAGACCCTTCACCAGCTTCCTTGCTCTTCTCTGGACACGCTCCAGCACCTCAATGTCCCTCTCGTAGTGAGGGGCCCAAAACTGAACACAGTACTCCAGGTATGGCCTCACCAGTGCCGAGTACAGGGGCACG